AACACTTTATTTGCAAGTAGATTACAAGCACCTGAATACAGTTGTATTCAGTGAATAAGATTACCAGCATCTAACTTAAATAATCTATTTACAGTCTAGTTAATTACTTACAAGTACTAAAGGGCATTTTTTAAGTGCCAATGCACATGTATCAGAACTACCATCAAGTTCGTCAAGTTACCAACAATATCTTCTATGGTGTGTTTTTTTTCAGTCTACCTTCAGGAACCTAATACGTGAACCGCATAGGCGCCAACAAAATCTTGACCAATGATATTGTACTGGGCTATTGGTCTCCTTCCTCTGCAAAACTGTTCATTACTTTAGCTGGCAGTTGTACAACATTTGGTGGTTCGTTAGTCAAGTGTTGAGGCCTTCAGATATTTTCTCAATTACCGCATACCTATATCTGACTTGCACAACATGCGTGTGTACTTTGCGGTTGCCATTCTTCTTACAACAGAAGTACATGTATTAAAGTCTTCTTAAGACTTCTACAATGAAGTCAGATGGGACTATATATACCTCAAATCCTTGCTATAACTACAGAATCTTGACGCAGATTCAAAACCAAATGGTCAATCTGTTAACCCAGATTAACCTGGTCTAGCATCAGCGTCAGTACTAGTCGTCACCAGTCATTGAATTAAGACTGGACTCTCAAGACGTCACTTGGTAATCCTAGCTACATCGTCAACTTACTAGCTATAAGCTTATCTTTTCTCCTTTGTATTTTAAAATGTACATTGTTTGCTTGCACTGTGCATTTCCAGCTACGAGTGTAGCAAAATAGTTTAGGCACTCAAAACTGTTAAAGAAAGTAACTTAAAACGATTTATGGCCATTCCAGGCTCGACTAGCCCGCCTTTTGGAACAAGCCGCACCACTGGCACAAAAAAACAGGTGCTAACACATCATGACATGTGGTACCCTGCGTTCTGTAGCTGTCGAGATTTTCTGTTTTCGCAGCACGCAGGCTAGACACTTGACCTTTTGTGCATTTAACACATTAGGGGAAAAGAAACTCTTACTTATAATGACGAGGTTGGAAATGGATTACCGTTAACTTTTTGAACAATTACTGGAAAAAAAACTTGAAACGCAGCTTATCAAACTTAACTAGAAGGGACATGGAATTCCTACAAGTTTACTTTCCTTGGAACTCGTAACCAGAGCATTCGACAAATTGAAGAATACATGTACCTGTCCCTGGTTCTACAATGAGAGTACAATTTGAGGTCATTACAGTAACCTGTTACATAATGAGTTTTTGAAAAGGTCGTACATGTAATTCACTCTCGAATAGCATTACTCAACCTCCAATTGTTACAGCCTCTAAGAGTCCGTGATGTTGTTCACTGCGCCTCACATCTTAACACACGTGTGAGCTCTTCAAGGTGTCCTTGCAGGATTTCAAGCTGCGGTTCTTGGAAACGCACGACCATTGTCTCCTCGGCCATTTCACGGGGCCTCCTCGGTCCAATCTCCCCTCGGTCGAGGCGCAGACGATCGAGCTGCAGCAGACGGTCACGTGTTCCCTTGATATCTGCCTGCAGTCGAAGATCTGCAGCTATACTAGACGCTTCAGACACCCAGCTGATACCTGTACAGATTGATGACAATTGAGTAAAACGAAACAACTGGAAGAGAAAATATCTGTGAGCTAATGAGATCCCGCCACTGATAACAAGAGGTATATGTTCTCATTATTATTTTGTTGTTGTTGCAAATAAAGTATTTCTCAAATTTCCCAAACTTGATCATAAAGATTTCTGTCTGGATATTCAGTTTTCATTTAGCCACTCAGCAAGGAATGCTTGAGACTCGGAGTGATCAAGACAGAACAAGAGAAAACTTGCTAGGGAAGACAACTCAGGAGAGGAAAAAGAATTAGGAGGGTGCCCTTTTGCCTCTGTATCAAAACAAGTCTTGGCGCGAAACCAATCATTCAGGTTCATTATAATGCAAATCAAACTTATTATCATATGAAAGATTTTCCAGGAGGATTTGTTTTGAAACAGAGGCACAATGCAACTGGGAAATGGCCTATTAAATGGCACAATGTACAAATTAACGAACAAAGCAGTATCAACTTTTTATTGAGATAGGGCAGGCAGTTAGTTGTCAGAATCACTAACCTTCTTCAAACTGCCCTTTCCTTGTGAAGAAGTCACCCAGCGCACTGTAAAACAATGCTTTGTCTCTCATGGGGCAGTCAGCAAGAAACCCTCTCCTGAACTGTTGAACTAACACGTCCACCTTTGCTAAATCATCCGCTGACACAGGAATGTGCAGGTTAGTGGCTTTGTCTCTGGACGAATGAAGGTAAAAGAAGATTGCTCTGATAAGGGTCCGCCGTGGACTCCTGGCATTTCTGTTTAGATTCTTGTCAAGTTGGTGCCTGAAGTGCAGCATGGCATCCTTCACGGCTTTCTTTAGGATCTTTTTTTCTTGTTTAGTGNTACATGTAATTCACTCTCGAATAGCATTGCACAACCTCCAATTGTTACAGCCTCTAAGAGTCTGCCGTGATGTTGTTTACTGTGCCTGACATCTTAACACACGTGTGAGCTCTTCAAGGTGTCCTTGCAGGACTTCAAGCTGCGGTTCTTGGAAGCGCAGGACCATTGTCTCCTCGGCCATTTCACGGGGCCTCCTCGGTCCAATCTCCTCTCGGTCGAGGCGCAGACGATCGAGCTGCAGCAGTCGGTCTCGTGTTCCCTTGATATCTGCCTGCAGTTGAAGATCTGCAGCTATACTGGACGCCTCAGACACCCAGCTGATACCTGTACAGATTGATGATAATTGAGTAAAATGAAACAATGACTGGAGGAGAAAATATCTGCGAGCTAATGAAATCCAGCCACTGATTACAAGAGGTATGTTCTCATTATTACTTTATTGTTGCAAATAAAGTATTTCTCAAATTCCCCAAACTTGATCATAAAGCCTTCTGTCTGGATATTCAGTTTGCATTTAGCCACTCAACAGGGAATGCTTGAGACTCGGAGTGATCAAGACAGAACAAGAGAAAACTTGTAGAGGAGGACAACTCAGGAGAGGAAAAAGAATTAGGAGGGTGCCCATTTTAATACATGTAGGCCATTTCCAAGTTGCCTTTTGTCTCCATGTCAAAGCAAGTCTTGGTGCAAAACCAATCATTCAGGTTCATTATCATGCAAATCAAACTTATTTTCATGAAAGATTTTGCACAAGGACTTGTTTTGAAACAGAGGCATAAGGTAACTGGGAAAATCAAATGGCCTATAAAATGGTAAAATGTAAAAAATAAACAAAGCAATTTCAGTTTTTGATTGAGATAGAGCAGGAAGTTAGTTGTCTGAATCACCAACCTTCTTCAAACTGTCCTTTCCTTGTGAACAAGTCACCCAGCGCAGTGTAAAATAATGCTTTGTCTCTCATGGGGCAGTCAGCAAGAAACCCTCTCCTGAACTGTTGAACTAACACGTCCACCTTTGCTAAATCATCCGCTGACACAGGAATGTGCAGGTTAGTGGCTTTGTCTCTGGACGAATGAAGGTAAAAGAAGATTGCTCTGATAAGGGTCCGCCGTGGACTCCTAGCATTTCTGTTTAGATTCTTGTCAAGTTGGTGCCTGAAGTGCAGCATGGCATCCTTCACGGCTTTCTTTAGGATCTTTTTTTCTTGTTTAGTGATTCCCTTCACTCTAGCCTTTTCTGAATACAGAGCAGCAAGACAAGTGCGGTTGACTGAAGTCTCTTCACCCGGGACAACTGCCTCTAAGAGCTGAGACAAATATTCACCACTTAATAAATAATGCATCATGCTACATTCTATGGCTGTAGCATTTCCATGCTTAAGACCCTACCCGTTAATTGAAAATTTTAAGTTATATTAGAACCATAAAAATAATAGTTTTAGAATAGAAGTACTGAACATGTCAAATAAATTTCCTCAAATATCCAATGCACATGACAGTAAAATATTAAGACGTGTCACCCTCAAATAAGTGCATCACTAAACAATAAGGTGCCGCTGGTCAATGGGAACATTCCCAAGCCGCTATGTACATGTATGTGCCTACTTGCCTCCAATATGGAAAAAAAAAAACACTTACTGTTCATTTCAAACTGAGTTTTGGTTGTTGATACTATCATTCAAAAGAGCTTCTTTAGTTAATGAGTTTTAAATAAGTGTTGCTCCGTGCTTTCCAGATTTTATGTGCTAGGCCTGCAGGGATGGGAAGGGAGGGGCAATTACTATCACAAACTGAGAATGGAGGAATTCAGGGGAAGGACATGGATAGGCCCTCTGCAGCTAAGCCATCACGCGACCTATTTTTCATAAAATTATGGGCTATAACTTAACGAATGCCAGAAATGGAAAAAAAATGTTGAAAATATCAAAATGGTCAAGTTTGAGGCCCCCATCATTAAAGAAGGAGATTTTATGACGGTCCAAATTTTTAAAAGAATAAGAAGATTTGTATGGAAA